GTCTGTCTGTCTGTCTGTCTGTCTGTCTGTCTGTCTGTCTGTCTGTCTGTCTGTCTGTCTGTCTGTCTGTCTGTCTGTCTGTCTGTCTGTCTGTCTGTCTGTCTGTCTGTCTGTCTGTCTGTCTGTCTGTCTGTCTGTCTGTCTGTCTGTCTGTCTGTCTGTCTGTCTGTCTGTCTGTCTGTCTGTCTGTCTGTCTGTCTGTCTGTCTGTCTGTCTGTCTGTCTGTCTGTCTTTGTAAGTGTAATACCTGCAGTAATGAATGTGACATAGAGGCATAGATTGCTGCAGCTCTGTTGTTTTCCCAGAGTGAATGAGCTGCAGTCAGTGACCCAGATCTCAGAGCAATGAACTGCTTGACTCAGACTGTTGTTTTATTCAGTGCACTTGTCAGCAGACGGGGTGAGGAGGAGGATGGGGGGGCGGGAGCTGACACCGATCGACCCCTCCATTGGCTCCCAGCTTCGCCTCCTCTCCACCATTGGCCGCGCGCGCCGTCGCTCCCATTCGGTTTCTCGCCGCTTTCCGCGCCATTCGGGTGTGCACGCGCGCAGGACTGGGGGAGGAGGGGGTGAGGGGAGTGGGGGGTGTACCAGGCACGTAACGGTTAGGAGACTGTCTGGAGTCTGTCTCAAATTGATAAAATTGGAAACGGAGTTTTATGCGTCCTGGCGCGTTCTTGGCGAAGCCGCCCGGTGGGAATCTGAGCTCCTCCTCAAGACGTCTGCGCGCACGAGTCGCCGCGCTCGTGCGACATATTTTGATTTATATTTTCAGACAAAACGAAAGTTTTTTCCCCCCCTCTGTCTTTATTCTGCAGCGTGTCAGCAGCCAGCTCATTGTGCACAGGCAGGTAAGACAAGCGCCAGAGCGCAAACTGGATGCTGCAGCGCTGCGCCGCTGGCTTTTATGTCATGACGTTATTATTTTGACTCTTTTACTGCCTTTAGTGCTCCGCTTTGGATTTACAAACTGTATCAGTTGGTGTAATGAGACTGGTTTTGTTTAGCTATTTTTAGGGGTAACTCGTTCCAGACAATTATGTTGTTGTGCGGACTTGACCTCGTTCACACGAGTTCAAGACGCGCAGGTGACGCACCTTTGCTGACGCGAGGCTTTTGATCAACTCCACGCGCGCTTGAGCTGTCTGTTTACTCAACACACACCTGAGGGGGGAAAATCTGCCCTCAGCTTGCTGTTTTTAACCCTTTCCCGCTGACTACCACAACTAAAGCACTGGGAATGTTTTGGAAGAACGTTTATGGTTAATTCAGATGATGTAATGAGACTTTTTTTTTTCTACTCCATGCCCCTGTTTATCCTCTGCAGGGATTCTGTAGGCTTGGAGTTCAGGATGAGTCCACAAAGTCAGCCTGCTTGAACACAGAAAGGTTTGTTGCTTAAAACATAAACTGTGCTCACTTTTATTCTGCAGCTTTAATAAGTATCTCATTAAACTTATTAAAAAGGCTTTTCCACCTCCATCCTCTTGGTAATAGACTTAAAATGCACCCATTCTACATAAAGCTGCATTATATGTAGTTACATAATGTAAAATATTTAGGCACACAATACAGAATGACTAAAATTTTATTTAAATTTACATCAACAACGTATAAATGGAGAAAATGGCATTATTTTGGACAGCATTCTCTGCTCCAGCCTAATTTCTCTTCAAGTTATGAATATTAATCTGGCTTAAACAATGCTGATCAGGTTTTATTACCATCTCAAAGGATAAAAAAAAGACATATGCTGCAAAAATGCAATCAAGATAAGCTAATTGTGAGACCTGCTTTAAACATTCAATCAGCTTTTTCCCTTTTTTTAAATTTATTTTTTGCTCAAAACTAAAAAAAACAACCAGACTCAAAGGAATTCAAGAAGCAGTGATAGTTCCATCTGCGTCAGACTTGTCTAGACTCCCTTGCTCTGTCATCGAAGTCGTCTGCAGACTGTGCAGTCATATGACTTGGCCAGCCTTCCTTCCTCCTCCCAGAGTCGGCTCTGTTTGAGCAAGATGGCCATCCAAGCAGTGTCTTATAACAAAATATGAAGCAAAACATAAGAAAGTTGTCATTATGATTAATTTAAAAAGCCATAATATCAAATCTGTGAAGCACAAATAAACAGGAGGGTGAATGTTGTGCTTTGCAGTGATTCTTTTGATCTAAATAATTTGCTAGAAGAGGACTGAACCTTTATAATCAGCGTATTGTTGGGGCAGTTTTCATATTTTCACGCGATTCCCATATTTGTTGTTCTCATTTGTTTATCGAGTGCTGCGTCTCCGCCTCTTTATGGGATGCTTGGTAGCCATTTTGTCTGATTCATGACTGTGACAAGCTACAGGGCACCTAACAGAAGGAAAATATGTTGCTGCAGGTTGCACATGGCTTCAGATTTTCTTTTTTTTTAATCACCTTGTCATCAAATTTAATCAATATCGAATTTATGGGAAATCAGCAAGCCTTCGATTTAAAATGCATATTCTCAAATACTCAATAAAGTTCCAGTTTAGGAAGAATAAAAATGCTTTTGTAAAGATATTGATCATTTTACATTCATTTTTGAGAAAGGATGCAATCCAACCCGAACATTATTAAAATTGATCAGAACATATACAAAAAAAAAAAAAAAAGCAACTCATTGAAGCTTTTTATGTTTGGAGGTTATTTATCTGCATGTTTTTTTTTGGATTATTTAATAAATATCACCGTCGTCATGTGAGAAAACAAATCTTCTCCAAAGGTCAGAATTGTAGTTTAAAGATAAAATCTCTTACTTTATAAACTCATTTAAAAGCAGCAACATGTTGATACATAGATGACAGGGAATTTTATTCATATGAATATTATAATATAAAAGTTTCGTCAGCTTTTGCAGGTTTTTCACATTCCTGTTTGTAAGGGAGGGAGGCAGAAGATCGTATTAAGTTTGGCTTTAAAAAAAGCCCCAAGCTCTCTGACTTAACAAGTTACTTCCACTCTTTAAGTCTGAGATGTTTATCTGTTTGCCATATCATTGACTGGCCTGGACAGATCTCTTCATCATCATCTACTTAGTGCATATCTCCTGTCAGACAGCTCCTTTAATCTGCTCACATTGAATCCTGACTTTTTAAATATATTATTTTATTTTTTATTTTTTTATTTTTTTTGCAGCCATTTTTCAAACACAGTTTTTTTTTTTTTTTTTTTACATGGATGTTAATATCTGATTAGGAAAAAAAAAAGTAATTAGGAAGTTAAGGAATGTAATAGAAGCAGCATTAAGCGTTATAATTTTCTATTTGCTGTGAGAAATTGACAAACACAGGTTAATGCTATATGGTTGTGAAAATATGCTTTTTTTGTTTCTGCATCACAAATCCTAACGTGACGAATAAAGACATCAAATTAAATTTTTTTTTTTTTTTGGGTAAACTCGACGACAACAGGAATTGTGTTTTTGTGAGACTGATGCGTTTTTTTTGTGCAGAATATATACACAAACCTATCAAAGTGGAAACTAACAGCTACATAATTTAGTAAAAAAAATACAACTCAAGCGTATTTTGATAACACTTAACGTGCGATAAAAAATTTGAATTGGACTTTAAATTGTCTCAAGCAGCTAACTCAAATGCTAAATTTCTGAAAAATTACCAACTTTTTGACTATAAACAGAATTTAAAGTTTCAAGGCGGCGTTACAAAGGCGGCAAACATTGTTTTCAATTAGTCTGCTAATTTACCATCTTACGTGTCTGCAACGTAATTATTTGTTCGCTGAATCTTTCGAGAAGCACGATTGTTTGCTAATGTTTTTAATTTTAATCTGTTTCTCGCAGGTGATGCAGGCTTCAGGTGTTCAGTCCACTCAGATGGTAAGCTCTGCATTGATCTGTTCATTAAAGCGTTCAAAGTTAGGAGTAATTTTAGGAACGCTTCAAGGTGCTGCAGTGAGTGAATGTGATTGCCTGAGGGAACCATCACTCCACTGCACAACAGAGAGGTTGGGCTCTCTGGATTGCCAGTTTTAGGTGATTTAAGGCCACGAACTAGCTAATCAAATCCACTGTTCCAACTCACTCCTCTGCAGCAATCATGTTTCATCAACACTGATTTTTTTTGTTGTCTCTTTATAAGCTAATCATGGCTGGGGAGCTCATAACTTTCACTTGAGGCTTAGCTGGAAAATGCTGATGCAAGAAGCACGCCGAGTATCCGTCCCGCTCCCCTATTGGCTCCTTGTCTCCACCCACAGTGAGGTCACGATGTCTGAAATCGTGACGATGTCTGGTGAAAACAGGCTTTCATCTTGGCTCGAATGCTTCCCAAGC